CTTCTTTGAGTTCTGGCAAGAGGATAAGAGTGCATGGTGATAAGACAGCAGGWGCAAAGTGGACTCAAGAATCATTCATTCAGGCATTTGTTCGTTAAGCACTTAGTGAATGCTAGCATCAGGTATTTTGCTAGATACCAGGAAGGTAAGTAAGTAAGGCATAATTACTGCCCTTAAGGGGGCTCACAGTCTTACTCTCATAGTACTGTGCTACTCAACATGTGGTCTGTGGAATGGCAGCAGTGCCAAAGCCTGGGAGCTTCTCATAATTGCTCAATCTCAGGTTCCACCTTAGACCTGCTGAGTCAGAATTTTCATTTTGACAAGATTCTAGGTGATTCCTATATAACTGAAATTTAAGAAACTAGCAAGGCATTCTTAATCTTGGCTGCATAGTAGAGTTATTTGGGGGGTCTTTGAGCATAACTAGACCCTACATAAGACTAACTGAATCGGATACTGTGGGAAAAGGGCCTAGGCATTTTAGGATGCTCCCCAGATGATTCAAATATTCAGTTAAGGGTAAAAACTATTGGCTCCTTCAGTTTTTCAAACAAATGTGTGCAAGAATCACTTGGAGAGCTTTTTTTTTTTCAAACACAGATTTCTGGGACGTTTAGTATAATTTCTGGGACTCTTTGTCTCTGATTCACTGGATTTGGGGTGGGCTCTGATAATTGGCATTTCTAGTAAGATGATGATGCTGTTGCTCCTGGGACCACATTTTGAGAATGAAGGAAACAGAAATGTTTCTTAGTCATTAACAGAGAGAAACAAGTATGGAGACAGATATAGGTGATAAACCCACAGGCATCTCACCTAACCTGGCTGGGAGGATCTGGGAAGGTCTCCAGAGGAGATTTATACACAATCAGTCTTCATACAAGTAAGAGTTAGCCATATAGAGCAGGGGAAATAGCGTTAGAACACACAGGGAACACCTTATGTGAAGACTTGGAGGTGTGAGAGTTGGGGTGGAGAGCAGGGTGCAGATGTGGGAGCAGAAGCCGGGGAGACACACAGGTGTCCCAGATTAAGAGGATCCTGTAAATCCTGCTGCAGAGCTAGAGACTTACCTTGAGGGCTGTGGGGGAGCCATCAATATGTCCAGGGGCCTGCCTTGACCTTTCTAGTGGATTTGCTGAACTTAGTGCCCTGCCTGGAACTGGGAGCCAGGTAACCTTGCCTTTTCAGGCTCCTGTCCCTGACTCTATTCCTTTTMATTCCAGCCTCACCTTTGGTATAGTATGTATCCTTCAGCCATGGGTACCTGAGCATTGTCCTGGTGATTTCAGAGATATCAGCTGATTTTACACGGGCCATCTTCTTCTCCTGGTGGGGTTAGAGGCAACCTGGGGGGCAGTCGGAAATTCAGGGCTGTGGGGGAATGGTGGCACAACTGGAGAAGACCTATCCTCTGGAACAAGAAGGATCATTGAGGTGTCCAGATTTTGGAGGTAGAAGTTTCCAAGTGTTAGCAACCAGATCGCCTTGGTAAATAGAACCCTCAAGTTCCATTCTTGAGCCCCACTCCTGGCATCTATTGGCCTGTGGACTGAACTGGTTACTTGATCTACCTGAGCTTAACTTTCCTCATCTGAAAAGTGGAAAAGTTATGCTTGTCTGGTTAACTACCAGGTCTGTGGCGAGGCATAAATTAAAAAAGAAAATCAAAGTATTTGATGAACTGTTGGACTCAAGTAAGTCCACATTAGGGGCAGGGGTTGTTCTCAGGATATGCCATTAGGAAGATGTGGTGATGGACAACCCCTTTTATATACACACTCCCCTTCTTGGTTGCAAGAGATAGTACCAGCAGGGCGTTGTGGTGCATACCTATAATCCCACTGACTGAGGAGACTGAGGAAGGAGATCTAAATTCAAGGCCAGCCTCAGCAACTAAGCGAGGCTCTAAGCAATTTAGTGAGACCCTGTCTCAAAAAATAAAAAGTCTGGGCATGTAACTTAGTGGTAAAGTGCCCCTGAGTTCAATCCCCAGTACAAAAAAAAAAAAAAAAAAGTGCTGGGGATATGGTTCAGTGATAAAGTGGATTCATTCCCCAGTTTTCTGGTGATATTAAGTCTGATTAACAAACAAACAAGCAAAAAGAATATCAAAGATCTGTTTTTCCTGCCTCCCACTTTTGCATATGCTGTTCCCACTACCTATCACTCCTTTCCCTTCCTTTTCTACCTGTTAAACTTGACTCAAATCGTTCGAATTCCATATAAACATTCCCTCATCTTAGCCAGGCATGATAACGTATGTCTATAATCCCAGGTACTTGGAAGGCTGAGGCAGGAGGATTCAAGGCCGAATTCAAGGGCAGCCTTGGCAACTTAAACCTGAGCGTAGGAACCGAGGCATTTAAAAATTAAAATTAGGAGCTGGGATTGTGACTCAGCGGTAGAGCGCTTGTCTAGCACGTGCAAGGCCTGGGGTTTGATCCTCAGCACCACATAAAAATAAATAAACAAAATAAAGGTATTGTACTTCTAAAAAATAAATATTAAAAAAATAAATAAAAATTAAAAGGGCTGGGGACATATCTGAGTGATAGCCTGCCTGTGGGTTCAATCCTCAGTACTAAAAAAAAAGTTATCTCATCTCTGAAGTCTCCTCCCCGGGCTCCTGGTYCCACCCACTCAGTGATGTAATTCTTCCACCTAAGTGTCACCACCGCCTTTTGTACAGTTGCTTCTCTTTCTGTGTTTATCATATGTTTAATCTGCTCATAGTCCTCCCTGGACTGCCAGCTGCCTAAAGGTGAAGATGGTGACTTGTGACTATGCACCTCTTTATTCTGGTCTCCCCACCCCACCCTCAGTGCCTACCACAGTGCCTGGCACACAGCAGGCAGCCCATTGTAGCAAGAGTACATGGGTCACCAAGCCATCAGACTTAATATCACCAGAAAACTGGCATGAAGTACTTTGATATAATATATTGAGAAAGACAGCATCACCCATAGYATTCCTACCAAAAATGTTTTAACCTCAATCTAATTATGAGGAAATAATCAGGCAAGCCCAAATTAAGAAACATTCTACAAACATCTAATCTGGGACCGGGGGTATGGCTCAGTAGTAGAGTGCTTGCCTAGTACGCACAAGGCATTGAATTCAATCCTTAGTACTGGGAAAAAAATCTGATGAGAACTAAAAACTATCAGTATCTTGAAAATGAAAATAATAGGGGGCTGGGATGGTGGCTCAGTGATAGAGCACTTGCCTAGCAYGTGTGAGGCACTGGGTTCATTTCTCAGCACCACATAAACATAAATAAAATAAAGGTCCACTGACAACTAAAAAATATTTTTTAAAAATGAAAAAACTATGCTTAAAGACACCAAAAAGACATGAAAGCTAAATCCACTGTGTACTTCATTGTACCCTGAGTTTTTTTCCATTAGTGCAATTTTCTTTTCAAAAATTTTTTCTTTTTAGTTATCATGACAGGAGAGTACATTTTGACACATTTTTACATACATGGAGATTATCTGTTTCTAATTAGGATCCCAGTCTTGTGGTTGTACAAGATGCGGCAATTCACGGTATTCATATGTGTCCATGGGAAAGTCATATCAGATTTGTTCCGCTGTCTTTCCTATTCCTGTCCCTCTCCTTTCCCTTCATTCTCCTTCTTCTCGCTCCTTGTGGTGTGTTAGTGTTGGATCCTTAATCTTAAAAAATAGCTATAAACAGGGGCTGAGGTTGTGGCTCAGAGGTAGAGCACTCGCCTCGCATGTATGAGGCCCTGGGACTGATCCTTAGCACCACATAAAAATAAATAAATAAAATAAAGGTATTGTGTCCAACTATGACTAAAAAATAAATATTTTAAAAAAAATAGCTATAAAGGACATTATTTGAGACAAAAAGGGGAATTTGATGATGGATCCTATATTAGGAAATAGTATTGATGAGTCACTGATGAGTTTCCTGAGTGTGTTGCTCGTTTGGTGGTTATGTGAAATGTTCTTACTCTTAGGGTAAATACACTGAAACTTTTAGGGATGAAGTGACATCATCTCTGCAACTTTCAAATTGTCCTGAGGGAGAGAGGGAGGGGTAAGAAAATATAGTGAAATGTTAATATTTGAATCCAGATGAAGAACATATGAATGAATTCTTGCAAATTTCTGTAAGTTTGAAAATTTGCAATTTGAAGGTGAAAAACAAAAAAAAAACAATATGGGCTTTGGCATTAGACCTTACTTTTTTTTTTTTTTTTGGCTGTGGGGTTTTGTGGGCAAATCATTTCCTTCTCTTGCCATGGGTTTTCTTCMCTGTAAACAGGGCTAACAATAATACCTACCCCATAAAAAGAATGATGAATATGTGAGGCTGAGCCCATGGTTGGCACATAGTGAGTGCTCAATTAATGTTACCTATATCTGTTGTCATTACATATTCATATGAAGGGACACATAGTTGGGAAGGTTGGAATAGTTCACTTTAGAGGTACTGGTGGAGTTGTAAAAACCACAAAATGCCCCCCCCCATTCTCCTTATTTGAAAGCCTGGAGACCTTCAGGATTGTCACTATCCTGTTCTAAGGGCAAGGGTCGTAAAGAAACCCACTGGGGATTAGGTAGAGGGTAGGCTAAGGTGGAAGGGCCAACCAAAGTTTGAGGAAACAGGGAGGTACTGTGACAGGGAGATGGATAAATTATTGGGGCTTGGGGCTGGGAAATAGTGACTGTTGTCCTTCCTACCCAGTGTACAAGTCACTTGTTAGTTACTTTACCTGCTCTGCCTGCCAGTGCCCACTTCTGAGAGAGAGAGATAGAGAGCAAGAGAGCACTTTGGCTCCCAGCCCTGCTCACTGGGTGGGGCCATGGCCCTCAAGGCTAGTGTGGGCATCAGGTAAGTTCAAGCCTGGACCCCTGTTGCTTAATGTACACGGGGGAAGAGGGTTCCCACRTAGGAAATCAATCCAGGAGCCAGTTTTGTAATTATACTGAAAAATTTTAATGAAAAGCTGATTTTTTGTCAGATCAAGTGGTGTGATCCCAGTTACTCGGGAGACTGAGGTAGGAGGATCACAAGTTTGAGGCCAATCTGGGTAACTTAGTGAGATCCTGTCTCTAAAATTAAAAGGGCTGGGGGTCTAGCTCAGTGGTAGAGTGCTTGCCTAGCATGTTCCATCTCCAGCACGGGGGGAGCTCGGGTGAGGGKTGGGGAGAAAGGAAAAGGAAAAAAAAAAATAGAAAAAAAAATAGCTGATTTCTTCTGTTTGATAGTTTCAGCCCTCCCTCCTGAGGGACTGAGATGGCAACTTTGGCCATGGGAGATTTCTTCAGGATCCCGGTCTTCCTTCTTTCCTTGAGAAACATGCTGACTTCCTTCTCTAGTCATAGAACCATAGCCAAGCCAAGGGGCCTGACATTCAGAGCCTAGAGACTTYTTGTTGCTAAGGCAGGGCCTTAGTAAGGCTTCCAGGCTTAGGTCGGGAGCCTTTTCTAATTGCTGCTATGTGGTAGAACYTTCCCTCCAACAGGTGAATGGGAGTGGGGGACTGGGGAGAAGCTTCTCAAGGTGGTTAGGGTGAGAGCAGGTAGCAACAGGCGAGTTTACACCAGCTGAAGTTCAAGGTGCCGCTTATCCTAGCTCATCTCCAAAGAGTTGATGTACTCCCGAACCCATTTCTTCTCTGGGTCGGCACACACCTGGCGGTTCCTTCGGGTGACAAAGCTGTGGGAGAGGAGAAGAGAGTGAGACCTTCTTAGCACTGGGACAGCCAGATTAGGGGATGAGGTGGATTGAGACATAAAGGGAAATGGTGCTGGGACTAGGGTAGGGCCTTTTTGGAGYGCCATGAGGTGCTATTTCTTTTTAGGAGGCATTTCTTCCTCTGTTGGATCTAAGGGCTCCAAGCCAGAAGCAAAGTCGTGTGCATTGTAACCCCCACCCAGATACATGCAGCCTGTAATGCTAAGGGGATAGGGAGACTCCAGAGCCCAGGGTTGAACTGGCTAACCACTTGCTTTTTCTCTGCACTTCCCCTTCCCCAAGCCCTGTGCTGGGTTCACCATGCAGAGAGAAAAAAGATGTCCTCCAGGATGTGCTTAAGAAAAGTTTCTAAAGGAACACATGATTTGACTATAGACAACACAGTGCCTGGCACAGAGTAGACACTCAACAAATGAACCCAGGAATATATCTATGCACAGGTGGGTGAATGAAAGAAGGAGATGAACTTGAGTTTTTGTTGCACTACTTAGTAGTTGGATCACTATGGACAAATCACTTAGGGTCTCTGGGCCTATTTGCTAACCTCTAAAATATGGACAGAAATAATTCCTGCTTTGAACAATTGTAGTGGATCTCAAATGAGATAATGAGTTTTGAAAAATACTATACAAGAATAGCATGCATGTATAGGTAATGTTATTAGAGTGCTGTGAGACCTCTGCTTTAGGGTGGATTAGAACAACATGAGACCAAGGTCCTGGTCCTGGACCATGGCCCAGAGAGGTTGAGGGACCTGAGATTGGCAGTGCCAAAGCACTTCTACCAAATTACCAAGCAGAATATAAAGATTGTGAAGGTTGGAGGCCTTATCTCTGCAGGTATTGATGGTATAAATTGGAAATATAAAAGTTGCTAGTCATACAGGTCAGTCCAGCTGCCACCTTGCCTGTCTGGGGGGGCCTGGTTTTCTGTGGGGTAGATTGTAGGTTAGGTAATAGCTGCCCATTAACACATATTTTGGGGGCAGCCTTGTCTACTTGGCCTTTTTAAATTTTGGCTTCTCCTTTAGGATGTGTTCCTACACATTACTATTATTTTGGGGGGATTTGAACATGGTCTTATCTTACTTAAATTAGTATTTAAGATTAAATAAGTTAAAGGTTCTTATAGGAAGAAAATTAACTATTGTGCAGCTGTCTGGAAGTTTATTTTAAAGATCTTGTTGAATCTCACAGTATGCCATTTTATTATATGGCCTACCAAAGGAATTAATTATGTGTCAGAAACAATAAAGGTAAATTGTAAATCAGCCTGTTTTTGCAATAACTATCATATTTTCAAAATACTGATGTAGGGGCTGGGGCTGTAGCTCAGTGGCAGAGTGCTTGCCTAGCATGTATGAGGCACGGGGTTCAATCCTTAGCACTATATAAAAAAAAAATAAAGTCACACTGTCCATCTACAACTATTAAAATTTAAAAAAATTCTGATGTATTCCCTAGAATAAAGTATTATTCTCAAGTATGTTCTGATATGCTATGTGCCTACCTTGTTTAAATATCTTTTTCATTTTTTAGTTTGATTTCATTCTTTCTATAGGCATCTGTCCATATGTCTTTCAAAGTCAATAACCTTGTGTAATTCTGATTCCATGTCTAACAGCATTGAAACTTTTTTTTTAAATTTGTGGTAAAACATATAACATCATCTTAATCCCCCCATCCAAAGATTGAACCCTGGGCCTCATACATCTCATACATGATAGGCAAATGCTCTACCACTGAGCAACACTCCCAACCCTGCCTTAACCATTTTTAAGTATATTATGCATGTTTGTGAGCCCACATATTTTCAGATAAAGTGAAGGCTTAGGTGTGTTTTGAGAATGAGAATTTCCTGGTTGCTCTTTGAGCTCTCTCATGGATAATGTTTGCTCTTAGAGCAACTTTTCTGCTGTTCCGAGGCTCACCCAAGACCASTTGACCATCTGTGTCTTACTCTGGTGAGCAGAGCGGATGAGAAAAATAGGGGAAGGGGTGTTCTAGGCTCTTCTGCCTCTCACTGTTTATTTTCTTATTGGAAAAGTGTGGAAGCTTCAGATATAGACCCTGTCCTTATTCAGTGCTCTCTTCTTGGCACCCTTGGCCTGTGGCCAGGAAGTTAAAAGGTCAGGAAACCAACACCTGAGATGAGCCTTGCCTAGTCTCCACTTCCTCCTCTTTGCAGCACGCCATACCAAGAACAGACCATCTTTGCCAACTCTTCCCTCCCTCCCCCCATTTTCAGGACCTTCTACTTGTCTGACTTCTCTCCTTCCACCTGCCCTTCAGAGTAGGCGTTCTCAATTGCTGTCCTTTTCTCTGTGCTCTTTCCCGAGTCTTGGGCCCTGGGGCCTGGCACACAGTGGGTGCTTAACAGATGTTTATTGAATGAACAAGGAGATAAATAAATTGCATTCATTTCTTAAATTTCACCTATTATTTTATAGATGCCAGGGAGTAGTCTAAGCTTTTTATTATTCTCATGGTGACCTAAGGAGGGAAGCACTTCTGTCTATTTTTTTTTAAATATAATGTCATATTTTTTAATATCTTTAGTACCTATATTTTCTTTGTTTGTTTATTTATTTATTTTTATGTGGTGCTGGGGATTGAACCCAGTGCCTCACAGGTGCTAGGTAAGCGCTCTACCACTGAGCCACAACCCAGCCCCAGGGAAGTGCTTCCATCATCCCATTTTGGTGAAGGAATTGAGGTTCAGAAGGTTTAGTGAGAGATCTAAGCATAAAGGGAAATGGTGCTGGGACTAGGATAGGGCCTTTTTGGAGCGCCATGGCATGCATGGTTCTGACATGGCAGACGTGCTTTAGTGCTCACCAAGGCAGTGCCACCCTGCCTTGTTTTTATTGGAAGGCCCCTTCCGCCTACAAGAGAATGTCCTCAGCTACCAGCCCTTTGTTTACACTCCCCTCCCCTCCATCTCTTAGCTGTTTCCACAGGGTTGTCTTGGCTCCTTCCTCTTTAGACAGCTTGTCCTTGAGACTTAAGGGGGTTCCACTCTTCTCTAACTACGTAGGCTGAGGTCTCAGCTACATTGTCAGCCTCTCCCTCCCCTTGGGCCCTGACCTCAAGTCCATGGYCCTGGCTAATTCCACCTCCTCTCTCCCATCTCTCCTTTCCTTCTGCTTCCAGCACTACACACGTGGGTAGCTACAGTAGCCTTTAACTGGACCCCAGTTTCCTAGGCTGAGTTTCCAGCTCATTTTACATTTGATAGCTCTTTTTTTGTTGTTGTTGTTGATTTTCTTGACATTCAAGGCCCTCTGGGCTTCCCTACATGGCATCCCTACAGAAACCAAAGTTGAACCCTGCAGGCATCCTCTCTGATAAACTCCATCCCACAGGCTTTCCCCTGCCATCCCAATCAYGCCCCAAACAGTGCCTTTTGCCACAACCTCCTCTAAATCCTCTCTCCTCACCCCTGAAACCAGACACATTCCCTRTCTTCCTGTGTGATGTTCTTTGCTGGGTACTCTAGTCATTGCTGTGTCTGTCTCATCTCTTATTAGATTGTGAGTCCATAGGGCAGGGATGGTGGTTTTATTAATCTCTGCCCATAAGAGATATTTAGGGAATAGTTTTTTTTTTCCTTTTGAAAAATATTTGTTTTCAGAAATAAAATCAGTAATGCAAAATATTACCAGTATATTTTGATTCACCAGGACCATTCACCAACTCCATTTTTGAATACCTATAAATTTACCATGTTATGAACATTTTTTGGATTAAGAACTTTGAATTTTCATAGGAAATTTGATGATAGCCCTATTTTTATCCCCCTCCCCCTAAGTACTGGGGATTGAACTCAGGGCCTTGCATATGCAAGGCAAGCACTGAACTACGTCTCCAGGCTTTTATATATATGTGTGTTTTTTGAAAATTTTGAGAGAGGGTGGCCTTGAACTTGCGATTCTACCGCCTCAGCTTCCCAAGTCACTGGGTTTAGAGGTCTGTGACACTAGATCAAGCCCCATTTTCAGTCTCTTTCATTTTCTATTTCTTAAGTAACTAAGGAGATTCCAGAGACAGGCTCCAGACTCACTGTGCAATCTTGGAGAACTCAACAAATTTCTCAGCTTCACTCTCTGAGAGCAGAATTGAGCTTACCTGTCAGGGCCATTATGTGAAATTTAGAAATGATGCACATAAGGCATTGACACACAGTAGGCACTTCCCATGCAGTAGGGACTATTCTATTTCCCCAAATATATTAGCTTGCATATTTAAAGGTGAATCCCTCTCTCTTTTTAAAAATTTCTTCTTTTTTTTTTTCAAAATTTTTTTTTTAAAGAGAGGAGAGAGAGAGAGAGAGAATTTATTTATTTATCTATTTTTAGTTTTTCGCAGACACAACATCTTTGTTTGTATGTGGTGCTGAGAATCGAACCCGGGCCGCACGCCAGGCGAGCATGCTACCGCTTGAGCCACATCCCCAGCCCTAAAAATTTCTTCTTAAATAAATACTTTGTTGTTGTTATTTTGTTTTGTTTTGCCCCTGACCTTAGACCTCCTCCCCTAGTTCCTTTGAGGTTTAGGTTGGTTTGGTTAGGTGTGAAATATGGGGGACTCTAGGGTTCTTCAGTGAAAAGGGATGATGGAGTCCATCTTCTCTATGCAGGGGCATTTCAAATTCTTTTCAAGTAAAAGTTGCACCAGCAAGTGGAGTCCTAGGAACCTAGCCCATGAGGTGGGCAGGATCCTCCAAAGATACCTCGTCTAGTTCTTTTACATTGTGGCTGGAAACCCCGARGCTAGAGATGAAAGTACTGTGGCTACTTGGGTAGCTGGAGGATGAGTGGGAGTGTGGGATCACTGACTCTGGGAGCCAAGTCAACCCTTCCTCACCCCCCTGGAGGCATCAGTGGGATTGAGACTCACACGACTGCTAGGTTGGAGCACTTGCTACTGGTGTAGAAATATTCCTTGATGTGGTTGCGGGGCACTGGGCGGGAGATGAAGGCAAAGCAGCAGGGTGTGGTGTCTGAGGCATCTGTGAGAAAGGATGAAGAAAGGAGACCCCCATTATTCATTGCCAATGGACACTGGGCACTGTGCTGGGCATTTTACATGACTGATCTTGAAAAGACTATTATCCACCGTGGAAGAACTGAGGCTCAGAGAGGTAAAGGCACTTGGTCATGGAACACAGTGGCCGAATGGGAATTCCAACAGAAGACTGAAAGTATCTCTTCCCTGTCAATTGATCCTTGAGCTGAGCTTATATCCTTTCTTCTATATCATAACCCACTGCCCTTGGCTCTCAGGTCATGCTGGACCTCCTTTTCCCCTGTCATGGGTTCTGCCCTCATTCTCGCCCTTCCAGAATCCCTGATGAATTCAAAACTTGCATAGGGTAGGTTTGGGGAGGGCTGAATCCAAAGCTGAGGCTCCTTGGCTCAGCCAGGATCCCAAGTGGGGCCTGCTGCATATTGCATCCTAGGAGCCCTTGACTGGGCTGTAGGGAGAAGGGCTTTGAATAGAGAACCTCTTGTTAGTCAATTAATTCAAGATTCTGTTGGGAAGCACAGTTGTCTCTTCCCAGAAGAGCAGTAGTATTTATCCCAGCCAGATGGGGCTGAGTTTGAATACTTCCTAGGTGGGTGTGCCCTTAGGCAAGTTATTTAACTTGCCTGGGCCTTTGTTTCCCCATCTGTAAGTCTAGAACAGCTACTCCAGAGAGTATTTGTATTCAATAAGATGACAGGTCAAGCAACAGCACAATCCCTAACCCATAGTAGGCCTTTAGTTAGCTTTAATTATTCTTTTATAAGCCCCATTTTTTTTCCATCTGTGAAATGAGTGACCATGACTATCTCAGGAGAGTTTTGTTGAGAATTTAGAAGTTTCTCAGAAATCCTGCTGGTGACAGGATGAGTCATTCATTTTTCAAGGTCAGTCCAGCTACCCCCTGCCTACCGATATCCTCAGCATCAGTTCACACTCAGAGAGCAATTGCAAAACTCAAGGGCTATAGACCTTGGAGACTCAGAAAAGTTGACTGGGGGCCCCTGCCATGAAGTGGCATAGAGATCTATCAGGGGTAACAGGGCATCTGGCTAAAACAAAATTTAAGAATGTAAACAATGGGATTCAGACAGTATACATGCTATACTTGAAAAGAGGGCAAGGGCTGGGATAGTAGGATGGGGTGGGCCTTCCCGGCAGTGGGTGGACCTACTCTGTGGGTTGTGGTGTCAGGCCCCAGACTTACATGGGGAGGCAGAGGCAGGAATGCAGAAGGCGGCAGCAGTGAGGATGACAGCGAGGGCAGCTGCGGAGACCTTCATGGTACCTGTGGGCAGAGGCTGTGGGGGACGCACGTGCTGCTGTCTCAAGATCCTCTGCAGGGATCCTCTGCAGCTCAGGCCTTTTATAGGGACTCAGGGCCAGTAGAGGGAGCACCCCGCCTCCAAGGGGGAGTTTCCAAAATAGTGGCCAAGCCCTGGCTGATATCATAAATGAAGTTGCATAAAACGGAAAAGAAAACTGAAATAGCCTCCGGAAATTTGAGTCTCTGTTTCCACACCTCACTCGCTGCCGTCCAGAGTGAGCTCACCCCCCTTTGCCCAGGTGCTGCCATGGAAACTCTTCTTCTGCTGGCACCCTCAGCTTCACCTTCAGGGCGGGGTCTTTCCCAGAGAGTAGGAAGCTGCCTCTTGGAGGTAAAGGGCTGGGGCAGTTAGGACAGGAGCAGAGCCTCTGGGTCTTTTGGGTTTCTTTCGCAGTTCCTGCGTGTGCTTGATTTTTACCTCCCTTCTCTTGTACATGGGAGGATGCCATTTACAAGGTGTTCTACTGGGGTGTGTCCTTTAGACATATAGTCCCCAAGGATGGTGAGAGAACCCACTCTGTAAACTGGATCTGAGCTGCTCCGTGGGGGCTTTTTCACCAGATGTGAGTTGCAATGATTCCTCGGCGGGAGCTTTCTTGCTTTCATCACGACCACTGGGTCAACCCACCCCCCAACCCCTTTGCTTGCTGGTGATTGTTCACGACAGTTTAGCCTGGGTAGGGCTGAAATTGGCTTCTGAATAAGAGAAAAGTGTTTATTGACAGTAACAAAAACAAATTTTAAAAAATGTAACCCTGTACTGAGAATATTTCTTGTTAGCTACTGTCCCATGTAATTAGTGGCAGGGATTGACCAAGTCACCCAGAACGGGAAGACCTTGTCCATTTCTTCCTCACAATGGCAGGGTGGTCATCGGAAGGGGAAACTGAGGCTCAAAGAGGTTATTCACACCCACAGGGGCCCACAACCAATAAGTGGGATCTGAGACCAGATTTTTTGGATGTCTATGCCTCAGCTCTTCCCAGTGGCTCACATCAGGAAGGCAGCTGACAGTCATTGAGGCCCTTGTGATGCCAGGTACACTCTGCCACTGAGCTACTTCCTGCCCCAAGAAGTCTTCCTTGGAACAGATGGATCAGTTGAGCTTAGAGAGGTTAAGTGACTAGGTGAGGGCCATAGCCTGTTAGTGGCAGAACTCAATGTTGTACCCATGACCACTTTCTACCACACTATGTTGTTTCTAAAGAAATCCCTAAACTCTTGCCAAAGCAATTTTCCCCTAGGAACTCTGTATCTGTTTCCTTTTTGGTCTCAGTTTCCCTCTTTAAGAAAGAAAGGAAAGTATTTCCTAGACACCAGATGTGCTGAGTTGGGACACTAGCTGAGGAAGCCACACAGAGATGGAACCACATGTTTCTCATCTGTGCATCCTAATGAACCTTGCTGCTGCTGCTGCTGCTGTGTGTGTGTGTGTGTGTGTGTGTGTGTGTGTGTATGTCTGTCCGTCTGTGGGCAAGTGGGGATGAGATGGAAGGATAGTGGCTTAGTAGGAATAGGCAAAGGGAATCTCAGAAGTATTTTTCTTCCCTTTGGGTGGTTTCAGTGGATTGTGAGGAGCAGAGAAGGGGCAAGAATACACACACACACACACACACACACACACACACACATTTTTATTTTCTACTCATTTCCATTTGAAATCAGGTTTGGACTTGACCTACCAAGTTATCTTTAGGTTATTCTCTGACTCTAATGAACTGATTCCATGAGCAAATCAGAGAGCCCGTGTAAACAATATGGAACTTGGTACAGGATAGGGGTTCAGTGAGTGGCCACTCTCAAGATGATTCATCTAGCACTTTATGTTCTTGAAAATTAGGAACTCTTTCCTGTCTGACCTACTGCACTTATAGTTGAGAAGATAAGGGACACAGTGACCATGGATGTGTTTAGGGAGGTGTAAAGTGAGTYACAAACAGCATGGAGCTGTTTCTGCTCTCTGTCCCTTCAGGGTACATGGTCTATACTGCTCAACCATTCCTCATTCACTTTACACATTGCGAATGAGAATTGCTGTGATCCAGGCACTGTGCTAGGCACTGCAGACACCCTGGTGAGCAAGGTAGTCAAAGACCTGCTTTCTGGGGCTGCTCTATGTGGGAGTAGGCTGGGGACAGATCACAAACAAGTAAATATGTACTCCTTAACTGTGAATCATCTTTCACTGGTCTTAACTCCAGGAACACAGCATCTTTTCTATGTGTCTTTTGGAGTAAAGCCCTCCCCCATTTTTCAACAAATATCATGGATATGGTAGGTGCTAAATCAATAACTTCAAATAGCATCTTGATTAAGTGCAGGGGGTCTCTAGAGTTCAAAATCCAGCTCTAAGCTGGACACAGTGGCCCATGCCTATAATTCCTGTCTCAAGGGATTGAGATAGAAGGATCACAAGTTGGAGGCCAGTGTGACATCTTAGTGTGACCCTGTCTCAAAAAATAAAAAGCGACAGGAATGTAGCAAAGCTGTAGGGCAACCCTGAGTTCAAGCCTCACCTCCCCCCAAAATCCAGCTCTAATACTTATTTTCTATGTATTTTTAATAACAAATTTAAGGAGGACCACATGAAATTTTAATATATATATATAGACATAGGGACATGATTACTGGAGTCAAACAAGTTAACATATTCATGTCATATAATTACCACTTCCTGTGTGTGGTGTGTGCACCTGAAGTCTCTTAGTAAATTATTAGTGTTCTATATGGTATCATGATCTATAGTCTTTGTGATATAGTTTAGGTCTCTAGACTTATTCATCCTATATTACTGTGCCTTTCTCTGCTTTGTCCCTGCCTCCCTGCCCCTGGTGACTACGGTTCTACTCTTCGTGTTCATCTAACTGACTTTCATGAAGATTCCACAGATATGCGAGGTCACGCAGTATTTTTCTTTCTGAGGCTGGTAACAATGACTTTGAATAAGTTTGTTTGCCAAAGATTCCTCATTAGTAAAATGACCCAAACTGTTTTGGGTAATGGAGACTTTTGAGAATCTGATGGAGGCTGTGAACACTTCAATATTTAGAGACCTACACTTGTTATTTTGCCTACAGCAGATTTGTAGACCTGGCAGGCTCCTGGATGAGCCTCGCTAGTTCACAGGGCCAGTTCTCATCAGATCTTTTCCATGAGTCTCACTAAAGCCAGGCACATCCCTCCAGCTGACTCCACCCCTCTTGTCCTGGCCTAGTCTTTGTGTTTCCTCTGTCATTTGCTCTTGCTCTAAGGGAATCTGGTTGCCAGCCAAGTTTCACAAGCTGAACTAACCTGAGCTGACCAAACACAGGCAGGGAAAGTGAAACCCTATTCCACTCGGATTCCAAGGCTTTAGCCAGGTGTGGAGTTCCCCCAGGATGGTGTAGGTGGCAGGTCTGGCTCTTCTGGCTGCTCTTAACAAAATGCCTAAAGCAGGGAATGTCCACCCATCCTTTAGGAATCTGAGCCCCTGAGAATAGCCAGATGCAAAACCATTTCTCCCCACAGGCTTTAATTTTCTCCACGTGCAAATTAGAGAACTGTTCTCCTGTTGTTGATCCCTCCTTCTCTGCCCTCTCCTCCCGGGACAGCAAGCCCTGCCTCACTCCTCTTTGTTTCCGCAGGGCCCTGCTCGGAGGAGGTGTTCTGCTGGTGCTGGCCGCAGGATCTGCAGGAGGCAGCTCAGGGGACTTGCCAGGCGGACACAGGTCCCAGCTCCATCCAGGACTCTTTCTATTGCCTCCTACCCTTGCCTTTTGGTCCAGCTCTGGATGGTTCTTTCTGGGTTGTTTTATTCTGCCTCTTTCCTTCATTTTTCCCCCTTCCTTTCCCTCCTTCTCACTAAATGTGTGTTGACTATGTCAGGGGTTCTGACTTTAACAACTGTTCTCCTAGTTCCAACCACATTCAGACGGAGGGTTGCAGCTTGGCCTCCCCCCATTCTTCTCACCTTCCCCACACAGGACAGTGGCTGTGCACACCCACTTGGTCTCTGTAGCTGCAGACCACAYGTGGTGTGTTAGTTGCTGGGAACAGTGCTCGTCTGCCTGGGAGGAGCCCACCACAAATTACCTTAGGGTGGGGTGGCCCGRGGAAACAAGGCCCTGGGGAAAGCACTAGTTCTTTCAAAATTGCTGAATGGCTGATGACTTCTGGTCCTACTCTTCTTAATACATCCGAGTCCATTTTTGCTGTTTTCTTCTGTACGTGTGTTGGAGACTTCCTTCCCCCTTCTTCATGCACACTGCTTCTTGAAATGTCCTCTCCTTTACTCTTTGGGAACWCTTATTGCCAGAGCACTGCCCCCACCCCACCCCACCCCTGCCATTTCTGCTGTCCCTAGCCCCCAGCAGAAAGCCTGGCGAAGCAGGAGAGACTTGAGGTTGAAATCAGGATGGCCTACTACTTCCAGGAATTTATCTTACAAATGTATTCACACATGTAAAACTTGATCTCTACAAGGTGTTCCTGGTTTGTTGTAATGAAGATCAAAGGCAGCCTAATTGTCCATCAGTAAGGGACTGATGACATAATTCTGACCCATGTAATAGAATGTCAGAATTTACTAAATTAATTACTAAAATAAATAAGGCAATTCCTTTGTATTGCCCTTAAAGAAAAAAGGGGCAGTAAAACATCATGTCCCTGAATGCCCCTTTCTGTTTCCCCAAACCTTGTAACACTAGGGGACAGTGAGAGCAGGCCTGGGTGGGGAAGTCCAGACACCTGTTATCTTGAAAGACAGTGGCTCTGACTTATGGGCCCTGGGAACGAGGGTGAGTGAGAGTTACCTGTAGAAACTACTTTCTTGCATGTTCAGCAGGACAGTGGCTCCTTGGGATGCTGGTCAGAGAAGCAAACTCAGCAAGCTCATGCTGATGATGTCAYGGCTTCTGCAGCCTAAGGTATAAAACCCCTCTGTCYGTGGTGACTGGGGCAGAACCGAAGGCACCGTGAAAAGAATATGTGTCACTTATCCAGCCGGCCACCACTGGACCAAACRCCATGGAGG